TTAAATTCTTAACTAAAAAGTACAACAACAAGATCCACAGGTTCTCATGCAACTGTTATAAAACGAAAGTAGAGAAGGCCATGCAACTATTTCTTACATCGATCCATTTAAACCACTCAAGCACACGAACAAAAAAATCTGAAGAAGGCCTCTTGGGTAGCTACTGTACAAACCACACGAAGCTGCAACCACAAAGTACAATAATTGTCTCTAAAGTTTCAAACAGTTGGAACAAAGGAACCATACACATAGAAGGGAGTGGAAGCTTACCTGAAATCTAGTGAGTTGAAAACAAGCTGATCAATTATCCAAGATACATTATAGAATATGTGAATCTCAGAGAATCTTATTCAACATTCCTGTTTACAGGATCAAATAAGAAACACACTTTATGTTGTTAATTACCTCAAGGTGTAGCTGTCTGTTGGGTCAATACATTCCTTCCTTGAACATCTTCAGCTCTGAGACGGATCTTCATGTATGCATGATTCTCACCGTTCTGAAAATAATCAAGAGACAAAATGTTCAACATTGAATCATAAAGAGGCAAAGAGAATAGTCAATTTCTATTTGATTTGCTATATTTGGGTTCTGAAATTTCTTGAAGGTTACCTAAGCAAGCATACAGTTGTGAAGACACCAAGACAGGTTCAAAAAGATCTAGGTTGTTGAGATGTGATACTCGTGAGTACAAAGAAAAGTAGACAAATGTATGTTAGAAAGAGTTCACAACTTACATGTCAGCAGGACAAACCGCTAAACCACTACCAAGCTGCAGAATCCGGAACGTAGTTAGCTGTTCAGGAAACAAAGCTAAGAGAAAGAAGAAACAAATCATTAAGAGTAGAGACTTCGATATGCAAATGACAATATACAAGTTAGTAAAACAATTAAGTAGTGGGTTTGTATAAGTTAGCTTACATTTTGGTGGATATACGATAAGAACGCTTAATGTATCAGCTTTCACATAACCTCTAATGATACATATTCCTCTTGTTATTTTCCCCTTACTGCTTATCGCCTTTGGGACAAGAACCCGAAGAGTTTCTTTCTGCTGATCCGTCAATGATGATAATGACTCCAATCCAACAGTAATATAGGGATCCAGAATCAACTTTTGGCTGAATATCTCTTGACCGAAGCTAGTCTAACCCCTTTGTAACCCCCAGTTTCCTACATAAAGTTAAATAATCAAGTAAGACTTAGTTGTAGAAAGCATACCACTTAAACATATATTTGGTTACAACAATCAACTCAATTGCCTTGTCTAGATGCAGAGCAACAATAGGCATTCGTAGAACATGTTCAAACATTGAAAGACCAGATAAGTCACAAGTATAACAGCAACACAGTAGACAATGCAACAAAGTGTTCTAAACGTACATAGATGCATCCTTTGACAGCGGCTCAACGACAAAAAGCTTGTCGAAGTTCTCCTTGTCCATAAATTGGATATATCAACACCTCCAGTGAGTTTGAACATCTGAATTAGAGAATAAAGGGATTAAAAACTAAATTACACTTGAGTATAACGAACGAGAGTGGCAGAATGTATAAGAGTCAAGAAACACAGAATTACGAATGATCTGCCAATAGATGTAATGTATATAGAGCCAATCGATCAATCCCCTCTTTGGTCTTAAGTAAATCTCTACAAGTTTCTGTATTGTCTTGATCATAATCTTGCATCGCAATGGCATACAAGATGATCCTACACAGAAGAACCTTTACCATCAGCATTTCAAAGACATTATCTTAAGAAACAAAAGCTATGAAGAAGTGATTTAAGGCTATATGAATTGATTTTGGGTGGCAAACGCATCTTTGTCAAGAAATCCACAAATGGAATCTCCATGTCTTCCTCCGATATCCTCACTATCGACTCATCGATTTTGGTAGTCGAAGCCAAGTGTTTTTGAACAAGCTTGAAAAAAATCATCAGCAGAGCCAAACTCTTGTCCTTGAAGATCGCACCTCTCGAATCCCCGACGAAGCTCTTCACTTTCTCGGAACTTGGGGGCATTAGGGCAGAAACAACTAAAGTTTAACCATTAGAGAGGAAGAGAGAAGTTAAGCAGAACGTGAGATAAGTAGGAGAAAAAACAGAATTTATGAATCTGACCTGTCAACAAGAGCCGACACATGCTTCCGTTTCTTTTTTGGCGGCACGTGTTCCGACAGATGCGGCGGCTCCTCCTCCTCTTTGTCAGAGCGATTCTTGAAGGAAGACATCGGCTATGACACCACACGGTGGCTGAGATGTCGAGATCGACACTAGAAATCGAAAAGGGTCGAGAGGGTTTCCGTCGGTGAAACCAAAGGGGAAATTTTTTGGTCAAAGATGCAGATCAA